TACTCGTATGTTTCTTGTTTATATGCCGAGTAACGACCTGTGAATCCTAGGATTCTTCCACCGCTTCTTGATGACCAAATCGAGCGGTGGAGATTGAGAGGCAAGATTGAAAGGCAATCTCGTCCACATCTTGTATTTATTCCAGCTGCAACTCACAACCTGTCGTTTGAGAGGCACCTTGTCAAGCCGACTTCTTCGTCGATCACGCAACACGCTTGCCTCATAAGCAAGCTCAACGACAGCATCACCGCGTTTCCGGCCCCTCCTCCCTCTTTTTTCCTTAATCGACCTTCCCAGTCCCGACGATGCCACCGCCATCTACATTGACCGAGATACCCGCATTCAAATCTTGGACACGATGGCCCATCTCCCCCAGGCCGAGAAAGAGCAATGTGGTGCTTTCTTGGTCCGTTCAATTCCATTCCGGTTCAACCATCAACTTATATCTCGCTAGCGCGACGAACGAGTCCTTATTGTCTGCTCAGACGACATCGACTCGATTGTTCCACTTTGTGCCGACTTCGAAGAAAAGCTGGTCAAACTCGTCTGGCGATCTCGAACGGCGTCTGCATCCATCATCACCGCTGGCTCAGTCCCTGCTTCGGTTGCACCATCGACTACCGCTTCTGATGTCAACCTTACCGAAAAACCTTCCCCTCCTTCTCTCCCTTCCGTTGCCGAAGCTGCCACCACTGTGGCTACCACTGCTCCACCTTCCCCCAAGTCACGATGGTGGTGGAGTTGCGGAAAACGTTCAACAACACCAGCCCCCCGCGATATCGAGAGACAATCTACCTCCGGCTGTGAGACACGTCCTATCCGACTCTTTGCTCCTTTTTACGGAGGGTTGGGTGCTGGGCTTTCGCTGTGTAAGCTTCTGTGCATGACAGTTCTCCGAGAATCTTATGCTTGAGCAGTCTTTATCTGCAGTGGTTTCGAGATCCTGCTGACAGAATGGCGCATGGATGGCAACGCTTGTCGTTTCGCCCTCATGGTTACGGCTCCCTTCCTTGTCTGCGTGGCTCTGGTTCGTATCAACGCCACTTCCAACTCCGCCTTCTAACTTTATCCGCCGTAGTTCTTCGCGCTCCAAGTTATTGGAGCCATTTCGTTCTTGTGCGTAATCCGACCATTGCTCTCCTTGCCTCTCTTCTAATAGTCATGCAGGATTGGTCCCGTTGCTCAATACTACGAGAATTCCCGGTACTATTCTGCCGTCCGTCCCGAGCCCAATCCCGCTGTCGATCGAGCACTCCCGCACGTCACCGTTGAGTTACCCGTCTATAAGGAAAGAACGATGTATGTTACATGGCCCTTTTGCTTTTTGCCTCGGTTTCCCACTGGCGATTCCGCCTCTGGCAGTGACGCAATCAGAGTGGTTGGTCAAGAGAAGAACTCGGAATTGTGACTCTTGCACTGCTACTCGACTTGCACTGTTACTCGATAACTTCCACGACAAGTCTTTGTACGCTTTCAGCAGTCAACGCGTTGGTTATTCTTATTGTCACCGACGTCTGAGCTGACCAAACTCTTCAGCTTCCCAGGTGTACCAGCAACTCATCTATCTCGAAACAATTTGCGATCTCCACCCAAGCTTGCCCACGACCTCGATGGACTCTCTGTCGAACTAAGTGCCTGCGACAAAGAAATAATCCACCTCCAACCCCAACTCGCAGACGCTAAACTCCTCCACAAACGATTGAAGGAAATCCAGCATACCACAAAGAGTCTGTGATTTCCGATTCGTCGATTGCCCACAGATCTGCTCGTCATAATCTTTAACCACGTCTGGACTGCCTTTGATTCTGACCTGTTATCCAGCGGTCTATGGCACCACTGGCATAGTGAATTCCCACACGGCTCATTCGATTGGCTGCGGCTTGCGATTGCTCCTTCTCATCGTCTCGCAGGTCGGCAAAGTTGATTTCGGTGCGCTTCTGGGTGAGTTATGGACTAGTGGATTTTGAAGTATCATACTGACCCACATTATTTTCGCAGGCAAAGCCTTTTCTTGGAATTTCACCCACCCACGTCGCTTCATCACCCGCCGTCGATATAAAGTGACGCCACGACCTCCCTCCTGCATCCCGCTGCTGATTCCCGCAACACCCTCTGTGGCCATTTTCTGGCGGTCAAAACATGTCCCTCTTACACCGGACGTATTTCTCTTTCGCGGGAACGATAAACGGTGTACCATAATGCGCTTTTCTTACCCCACAGCCTCTTCCCCCGCAAACCACGACTTCGCCAACCATGATTCATATCCATCCACCACGGCAAATTGCTCTGGGCATATTTGACGGCTCCCTTCTTAAGCTCGGCATCCCCTTCGTCGGCACCTTCATACTGGGGACGTTTCCTGCCCTATTTTTGCAGGGGTGAGGAAGCGCGGTCTTCCCGGGATACAATCTCAACTCCCCCACGCTCCTCATTTGGACTGCCAAATGTTCCCGAGAAGCTATTGCTCTCCCCGGCGGTCTTGACCTCTGACTTCTTCACTGGCACGAATGACTTCCACGATGACCATTCACATTACTCTAGCAGATGCTTTTGTCCCGCTACCATCCTACGCCGTCTAATATTGTCCTCCTATCCTCGACATCGTCATTCGGTCCGCCTTATCCGCATCTACCACCACCTCGACATAGAAGTCGAGATAACGGCTAAAATGCTCACGAATCCGTTCTATCCCTGCTTTCGACCATGTACGAATTCTCCCGTGCAAACTTTCGAGTGCGAGCGAACGACTTTCTCGATACAAATTCGAATCTCAAGATGCCCTTCATCATCCTTCCATCGAAATATCGCTATATCTTGCGCTATTTCCAGATCTAGCCCCAAACTTCCTCCAAACCTCCTCTCGCACACTGGCATTTTTCGTCTCATCAACGCGCGAAATGACGATGAGTCCAGGGACAATCATCGTCGTTACCCTCCTTAATCGACAAATGCGCCGATACAAGCAATTTGACGTCCCTTCCTCTTTATGCATCATAACCATCGACTCCCTTAACGGCAATACTCTGCTGTGTTCCCCGCCAGAGCCCACGAACGAGATCATGGCCCCATTCTAAATTTACTTGCTGGGCCAGGTCATGAGCACTGTCTAGACTCTATCTGAGCTCGTTCTGTGGGGAGCAAAAGCCAAATACGCCGTTTGCTTCTGATGACATAGCGGATCGGGTATTAGCCAGAGAGCCACCTTCGCAACAACACTGTGGTGTCCTATCTCGGATGACAAACGCTAACGTTTGTCTGTGAGATCAGCGTGGAGTTGAGGGAGACGGCGTATGGGCTGCAATACGAGGAATGATGATGGGGCCGATCTAGGATGTCGGTTTTGGGGCTTTTTGTCTGAGTTGACATGAATTTGTTTGCATGGCACATATACTTTCGGTTTCTGTCATTCCCCGCGCGATACTTTCCTACGAATACCTACATTGCAGTACTTATCTCGGATTGATTTTCTCGAGCAACTTCAAGTTACATATTATTTCCCAGTCCTCGACACGTATAAAATACCTACAACCCCGTTCTGGAAGAAGGGCCGCAGCACCCGGAGCAGACGATCGAAGAAGTACAGGCCTAGCGAGGGGTACAAGAATATTGCTCGCTGCGAAGCTGACTTAGACTCTTCATTGATGGGTTGAGGGTGACTTACTGGAATTCGGCAGTGTGGACGTAGGCGCCGGCTAGCACGATGCTGTTTTGTGTAAGTTGATGATCAGACACGACTAAAAACAGAATGCTCACATTGCCCCCAAGAAATGTGCCACAAGGAATACCTCGTAGCTGCGGTTACGGATAGGTCGTAAAGACAAAACGGCGAGCAAGGTCAAAGTGATCGCGGCCGTGAAGCCCATGCGCAGCCACGATTCCTCGGGACTAATTTTCGTTCGCAGTCCGCCTGGACAACGGCTAGAGAAAGAGTTGGCCAGCACGACACTTGTTAATGGGTTGTACCTTTCTCATCCAGCCTCCTTTTGCGTTTTCCTGCTGACCATCGTCCACAGATCGCCGCAGAAATCCCGTTTGCGATTGCCACCCAGGCTGGTGTGTGTGTGTGTGTGTTGCTCGCTTTTGACATTGCTGCTGATCGGTTGATTCTGTAGGGCTATTTTCCGACGGTGGCGCCGAGTTTCTTTGGTGGTTGCATGGTGCGGGCGAGTGCTGGAGGGTGTAGTCAGGAGGGTGTAGTCAGAGTTCCCGCCCGCAGTAAAGGTCTCGCTGCTGAGGCGAGCGGTCCAGCTTGCCAGTAGAAGGAGCGCAAGCGGCTGACGTTGAAGCAGGGCGCGGCCTGTGCTTTCAGGGCGGCTTTGGGCGGGCTTGTCGGGGACAGCGAGCGGGAGGACTCAGGAGGAAGAGAGAACCGGAGTGGTTGGTCAGCGACACGTGCCCACCGATAAAACGTTTTCTTCAGGCGGCCACACACTCACCCTTGCTTCCCTGCTCGCGGCCTCCCTCGGCCTGCCGCCGATCCAAGTTTTGAGATTCGAGTTGGAGTGGGACGACGAAAGATCGGCGGTGTAACGTGTTGTCGATGACAGACTTGCTTCTCACTCTCCGATATTAATGGCAAGTAGTTTAAAATACACAATTGCAAGCATAATCACTAGTAGTACTGTTCTTCGGCTCTCTGAAATCCTGATTCCCGTCCTTCCGTGCAAGCTGGCAGCTGAAAACGGGCAATCTCAATCAGTCGTACCACCCAGCGCTTTACAGGTTACCAATGCGGCCAGAGCACGATCCAAGACAGTTCAAGTGCACTTCTCGCATCGCCCCTTGGCTGAGCGCGAACACATTTTGATACTAGAAATGCGTGATGCTGATACCCAAGCGCGCGCGCGGAACCGCGAGCGGCCGGCGAGATTTTACGTGTGGCTTTGAGGCGCGGCGAACTTTTCAACTGAGTTAACATGCGGGCGGACGACGAAAGATCTGCACTTCCTTCCGCAAACGCGTGACGTCCACGCCACCAGCCTTTTTTCCGCTCTGATATCATGGGCTGGTGGCCGTTCTCGTCTGCTGCGGAAGAACCACCTCTGCCCACGCGCCAAGACCGCCAGGCGTGCTGGAACGCCCGCGACGCCTACTACACGTGTCTAGACTCGGCGGGTGTGGTGCGGCCCGGAAGCGAGGGCCCGAAAGTGTGCAGGGCGGAGAACCGGGTGTATGAAAGGAGTTGTGCACAGAGCTGGGTGAGCCTTCACCAGCCGTTTTTGGGGAGGGACGGCTAATGACAGAATTTGGCAGGTCAAGTATTTCAATGAGCGGCGCAGACTAGCGTTTGCCCAGAAGGACATGATTGCGCAGGCCAACGCCCAGAATGCAGCGGCAGCTGCCAGTGCCAGCGGTAGCACTAAGAGGTGACATCGGTGAGTTGTTTGAACAGACAGACAGTTTTTTCGCGACTAAACGCTGGCAGGCGGAATAACTTGTCCGATGTCCGTCTTTTGGTAGACCCGCCGGGTGAGTCCTTACCCGTTCACTGCCCTTTTCTGGCTCATTCTCAATCAGGCCGCGCTAGCCCCTAGCCAGGGGGACCGTTTATCGCTCTTCTCCTGCATGTACCTTCCCCCATAATACCCACGCTGCTCTGATATCACCTGCGCGTCTTGATTTCGTCCCCCAGTGGCCTCATCATCGCCAGAGTGGGTATCTGTATTCTATCCACTCTTAATCCAAACTGACATTGTTTCAGTTGGATGCGTCATGATCATCGGGCTTGACTGTACAGGGCAGCAGAGGTTGACGCTGGGGATGCAAGCCTTCGGTCTACGAGTGGTGTTTGTGTGTTTGAATACGAGACTATTCATCATGCCCCGTCCTATTCCCGCACATCCATCCCCGCAAAGTCCCGACTTTCGTCAGCCCCATCACCACTGCGACACGCAACAATTTTGCATCAACTTAAAGGGGGGGGGCAAGCGAACAAGCGAGGACTTCTACTTATGCTGTTGCGCCGACAGCATCTTGCGGCAACCTGGCCAAGGTCTTCCTCAGATACGAGACTGTCTCCGTTTTCTTGTCCGATTTCAATATCACCAACCACTTCTTGCCTGCTGCCGGGCCGTCTTTGTGCAGAGCGACAGCGCGCCGGGCACTGCCAGGCAGCCTTTGCGCAGCGCGACTCATCAGGCTTGGCGATACCGTGTTTGATAATCCACGAGGCCTCACTGGCACAGTACGCCTTTTTACTTTGTGCTGTCAGCAAGTGTTTTGTTGACAAAGCAAAAAAGACTTGCTCGCAGAATAAAACCAACAGCAATAACGAGGAGAGTTCGTCGCGATCCTCCGCATCTCAACGAGCGTTTCCCACTGGACCTGACCCAAAACTCCGACAGACGCAAAACAAGCTCACGCAGATCGAAATCGTCTCCCTAGTCACTACTAGATTCCGCGTCTCTCTGCTTTACGATATCCTTCAGGACGGTAGTTGGCCGTTGCCCCAAGCAAAGACTGATTCGTCTTCTCTCGCTGTGGGCTGCGGGCACATCACAAGTGGTTTTGACATGGAGCTCCCCACACGGTGTTCTCGGTTCCCGACTCAAGCACAGTTATCAACTTATACTCCATTCAAGTTCAGCCACGTATGATAGTTCACCTCTTGCGGGAACATTGGACGGGCTGTTGTTCGAACATTCTGCATCGTCGCTCGCGAGTTGGGATTCCATATATTTTTCGGGCAGATGGAGCTTCTTGTCCGCAGCGAGGTTGCACACCAGTTGAACCAGCAGTTTTGGGACTCTGAGAACGAGAGGGTCAGCGTTACAACGATGTTCGTCCCCAGTCGTGGTCGAGGAACCTGAACAAGGTGAATACAGCAAGAAATCTAGTCATACAAGACGGCATCCAGCGCCGAGGTGAGCCAGGTGACTTTACTGGTATGTTGAGCTAATGGTTGAATAGGAGATACACATATTCTCAAGTAAGCTTTCGTTATTTCCGCATGAACGACGAAATTAGTGTCATTTGTCTTTTATCCGGCTTATCACTATGGCACCAGAAATGTAGCTGGCAATGCTAGTGGGATCCAGAGCTCTTCTTTTGCGCGACAAGCAAGCTGTGAGAAGCCCATCGCAGTCTTGGGCTCCGAGGGGCATATCTCAAATTTGGGTGGCTCAATCCAGTTCGAAATCTATGAGTCGTCATCAGTGTGATTCCCTGAACGATTTTAATGGAATGTAATTTGCATAGGTACGAAGCAGCACTTATCAATGACAACTCCAAACTTCAAAAATGGGGTTTAATCGTATGTTTATGAGAGAAGGCGATGCTCATGATGGCAACTGGGAGCTCAAAGCGTGGTGCGAGGACCATCGCTCACGACTCTTATCTTCGTTGGCAAAGCTGGAACCCAGCGACATACTTACCGTAGCTGATATCCCTTTGCATGTCTGGGGGTGGCAAGTATCTGAGAAATGTGTAAGCAGTCTAAGATTTCTCCGGTTTGATACTTAGGTTTCAAACAGAATATATCCGCACCTTACGAGTCGGAGCTAGTAATGGCTTCCTATTCAAGCATTCTGGATTCCTGTTAGGGGTCGTCACCAGCATGGAGCACGGATACTACCTTGAAGATCACAAGGCCGTATACTATACGATGTCATTGAACTGGCGATTCATCATATCGCAGCCTGAGCATTCCTCTCCCCGTTCCCAACCAAGTTTGTCGGCGACGAGGCAGTTCAAGACGTCGACATCGTTTCCCTGTGGGCAGCTATTCTTAAGGCGCACTCCAGTCATTGGATTGACAACGGCTTTTGTGTAGATCAAGTCGTTTTTGGATTTGATGGTAGAGAGTGAGGTAGACAGAACATATTGCAGCAGAGCTGACCCTGTTGCAAACAACTTCTTCGTCATTCACAAAAAGTAGTGAGGGTTAGTGGCTAAGAGTAGGCGCACCAATGTGTCCGGGACGAAATGGGAGAGTGGTCCAACTGATTGCCTTGATGGCCAATTGGTATACCGGCACAAATGTCATCGGTCGGATCACAGATCCAAGTGCTACATTTTCTGAAAATTTTCCGTGACAGAAAATTGGACATCTTCTGACCCGGAAAATTTCCAGAAGATTCTCAGAAGATTGATGGAAAATTCCAAATTTTCCGTGACAGAAAATCCTCAGAAAATCTTCAGAAGATCTTCAGAAAATTTCAAATCTTCTGTGCATTTTCTGGGGCAGAAAATACATTAATGTCCGTAGTGTCACTGTCTGACCGCGCTCTCCCCGCGCCATTCGACGTGGCCGTTCCGGTCATTGTCGAGCCGGAACTGGGGTGCTCGTTGGTGCCGGTTTCGTTGGCACTGTTGGCGCTTCCAATTTGTCGAATGCCGCGTTGGGCGGAACGCGCCCGTTCGGCGCCAAAGCAAATGAGCTTCTTCAGTGTCCCAGCGGGGAAAAGTCGAGGCGGTAAGTACATTAGGTTGTTGCCAGTGTTGCCAAGCGTTTGGTGTCATTTGGGCCTGGGTCCTCGTCGGTCCTCGGGACAGCCTCGGCCAGACGGCGTGGGCGGGTAGCGGGCGGTCGGAGAAAAAGGGTGAGCGGACCAAGTGAAGCGGCACGTTGCGTTTGCGTTGCCTGGTCGTCGTCCAAGCTGTGACAGCCTCGACGGTGGTCTCGGGCTGTTAGCGGGACGGAGGAAGCGGGAGACAAGCAGCAAGTGTGGTTGATAGGCGGCACGTGGCGCCTGCAGGCCCGAGTAGCCGAATTCACTCCCACGCTGCCTGTCCTTTCGTGCTCTTTTCTTTTCCTCGCTCGTCGGCCGCATGAGGAGAACGGCAGTGCTCGTGAACAACGGCCGCGGGGAGCATGGTGTCGTCACACGCGCTGGCGGCGGCGCTAAGAGAAGACAGACTGTGGGGAGCAGGGCTGGACGTCGTGGATGGGGAGCCGCATGTCGAGCCAGATGGTAGAGCGGCATTGGATAGTCCAGCTTGCGATTAGGTATAGTCGATGGTGGGGGAAGGGGAGATGGCTTTGACGGGATATGTTTGCCGATTCAGTCACCGGAACCTTCTTGATTGCTTGTCGAGACGAGTGGGACGGCAAGTCGGTGAGTTTGCAGCCGTCTTGTTGAGCTGTTTTTGTTATTGCGCGGCAGGACGGGGAGTTGTTGCTTGGTTAAGCTGGGGAGAAGTAGTCGCCTTATTACGATTGTCGATAGTGCCGCTTGTTTCGAGAGTCCTCTGGGGCTGAGCTGCCAGGTTTATAAGTTGTTGCTGCTATGAGCTATAGTAGTAAGTACTAGTAGCGCACACGAGTTCTCGTTAGCCGCGAGCGGCCTGCGGTTTGTCATTGTCGTTCAAGAGCCTGCAGGCCGGCACAGGCAGCAGTGTTGAGGTTGGTCCTGGTTGGAAGCCCAGCCGTCGTCGTCGTTTCGAAGAAGTGATGGCCATACGCGTGTGGCTGTGGACCGGCCAACGGAGCCAAATCGGGAACCCGGCCCGTCACCCACTTCGACCGTCTTCACCGACTCTCATGTCGCTGCACGATCTCGCTGTTGCGGAAGGCGAGGGTGTGGTGCTTGACAGTCCTTTTACAACTGGTACTGTAGCTGCAAGAGAAGGTGAGTGATGGCTACAAATGTAGCTGTTTCTGACAGCTCTACAGTTACTTGCAAACACGACTAGCTCGTGTCTTGTGATCTCGGACATGCGTTGACTCAAGGACAGCAGGCCGCAAGCGCCACTGGCGGAGGCCAAGTCTGCTTGCGACAGAAACATGTATGTGACAGTGTTACGACAGTGTTACACTGTTTCAAAACACTGATTATATAATCATAGTCGGCCGTCGCTTGATCTGGTGGGACATGAGAGTGATTAACAAGTTTAAAGCATTGACTGAGGATATTGACTTGGGAAGGTGGGATGTCGACTGCACGGCCGCATAAGCAAGTGAAGAAAGATAGTGAACTCTCAGTCTTGCCCAGGGAAAAGAAGGAAAGTCGTACATGTCGTAAGACTCTGAATGGTCTTTTATAGTGGTCACTTTGGGGAAATATTCCCCCCTGCCATATATGTGTACATTTTTCGCGTTTAGCACAATTTTTCCTGTATTTCTCGGTGGATTTGACTGTAACTGACCATGATAATATAAAATTATATGTGTTACTTCTATAAGACATTTCCAATTTAAAAAAAGTTACATGCTTGGACTTATGTGGCATTTATTAATGATTGCCTTTTTTGGTTAAACTTTAAAAGCCATTAGAAAAGAAACAATAGTCACTGTATTCTATATTTTTGTTTAGCTGTAACAGATCATGACAGTATATAACAATTTGCACAGGCCACTGTCTACAGACTACAGTTCCAGGGTTCAATAACTACTATTGACTTGTCTAGTAATCTTGAAATTGGAGGCATTTCTGTATCAATTCCAGAGATATCCAGGCTACTTACTGTCAATTGAACCTAATTAAGCAGGCAGTAAGCCAAGGCTCAGTATCTGCCTTAGACAAACCGAAATTTGGGTCAATCCATTGTCAATAGTCTTGGTGATATGTAAATGAGGTTTGGCTGGGGATGCTAT